TAGGCAAGAGCTGGGTATTAAGGGTGTCCAAATGGGGACAGACGAGATCAAACTCTCGTTCTTTGCCGATGCTATGATATTATGTCTAGAAAACCCCAAAGACTATTTTCTCTAAGTTACCATGTAAGACCTCATTCGGAGCTTTTGAGACCAACGGAGAGGTCTGAGCCCCCTGAGCTCCCGCTTTGCCTATAATCTTTATAAACTTATAAAACTATATCTTTGTCTCAGTGTATTCTTTTATTTCTTCCATTTTCCATTTCTCTCTATTATTTTCTTATCCCTTGCAACTCTACCAAAGGGACCCGGTTTTTTGCAGGGAACACTGGCCACGTTCCCCGCATTTTACAAATATTTTCTCTCAGTCTGCGGCTTGTCTTTTCATTCTCTTAACAGTGCCTTTTGCAGAGCAGAAGTTTGTTAATTTTAATAAAATCCAACTTACCCATTTTTTTATGGATTGTGCTTTTCATATTGTATTTGAAAACTCATCACCAAACCCAAGGTCACCTAGATTTTCTCATGTGTTATCTTGTAGCAGTTTTATAGTTTTGGCCTATGATCCATTTTGAGTTAATTCTTTGAAAAAATAAGGTCCGTGTCTACATAAATATTTTTTCATATGGATATCCAGTTCTAGCACCATGTGTCGAAAAGACTATTCTTTATTACTTTGTCAAAGATCAGCTGATTATATTTTTGGGGGTCTATTTGTGGACTCTCTATTCTGTTCTATTGACCTATTTGTTTATTCTTTTACTTGTACCACGCCTTCTTGATCACAGTAGCTTCATAGTCAGTTTTGATATTGGGTAGTTAGTATCAGTACTCCAACTTTGTTGTTTTTCCATGTTGTGTTTGTTATTCTGGGTCTTTTGCCCTTCCATATAAACTTTAGTTAGAATCAGTTTGTCAGGATCCACAAAACAGCTTGTTGGGATTGCATTCAATCTATAGATCAAATTAGGAAAAATTGACATCTCAAAATATTAAGTCTTCCTATCTATGTACATGGACTATCTCTCTATTTATTTAGATCTTTTTTGATTTCTCTTAGCAGAGTGTTTCATAATTTTCCTCCTTTGCATGTTTTGTTAGATTTATGCTTAAGAATTTCAGTTTTTGGTGCTAAGGTAAATGGTGTTATGTTTTAAATCTCAAATTCCAGTTGTTCATTGCTGTTATACAGGTAAGCAGTGCACTTTTGTATATTTCTTGCAACCTTGCTATAATTGATTATTTGATCCAGGATTCTTTTTGTTGGCGTTTTAGGATTTTCAACATAGGCAGTCATGTCATCTGCAAACAGAGTTTTATTTCTACCCTCTCAATCTTTGTTCTTTTTTTTTTTTTCTCTTCTCGTCTATTGCATTAGCCTAGACTTTGAATATGATGTTGAATAGGAGTGATAAAAGAGGGCATTCTTCCTTTGTTCCTGACCTTAGGGGGGAAAGCTTCTAGTTTCACATCATTAAATATGGTATTTAAACTATTGGTTTTTGGTATATATTCTTTATCAAGGTGAGGAAGTTCCCTTTATTCCTAGTTTGCTGAGAGTTTTTGTCACAAATGGGGATAAGAAAAAAAAAAAAACAAATGGGGATAAGATTTTGTGAAATGCTTTTCTGCGTCTGTTAATATGATCTTAGAGGTTTTCTTCTTTAGCTTGTTTTGCCAATTAATGATGGATTACATTAATACATTTTTGAATGTTGATCAGCCTTGCAAAGCTGAGTTAAACCCTACTTTGTCTTGATGTGTAATTCTTTGTATACATTGTTGTGTTTGTTAATATTTTGTTGAGTTTTGCATGTATGTTCATGAGGATTATCAGTCTATATTTTTCCTTTCTTGTAATGTACTTTACCTGGTTTTAATATTAGGGTAATGCTGGCTTCATCAAATGAGTTAGCATGTGTTCCCTTTATTTCTGTTTTCTGGAAGAGACTGTAGAGAATTGATATAATTTCATCCTTAAATGTTTGATAGAATTCGCCAGTGAACCTATCTGGGCTTGATGCTTTCTATTTTGGAAGGTTATTAATTGTTGATTTTTTTTTAATAGATACAGGCCTGTTCAGATTATTTCTCCTTATGTGAGTTTTTTTTCTTGAAGAACTGCCATATTTCCCTCAGTGTCTATACCATTTTACATTGCCACCAGTAGTGCACAAGGGTTCCAATTTCTTTTTTTTTTTATTTCAGCATATTATGGGGGTACAGATGTTTAGGTTACGTATGTTGCCCTTGCCCCACCCCCCGCCCCAAGTCCGAGTTTCAAGTGTGTCCATCCCTCAGATGGTGTGCATCGCACACTTTGTGTATGCAAATACCTGTCCCCTCCTCCCCCCTGCCCGACATCCAATAGATGTTATTCTAATATGTGCACTTATGTGTTGATCAGTTAATACCAATTTGATGGTGAGTACATGTGGTGCTTGTTTTTCCATTCTTGGGATACTTCACTTAGTAGAATGCGTTCCAGCTTTATCCAGGAGTATACAAGAGGTGCTATATCACCATTGTTTCTTTCTTTTTCTTTTTTTTTTTTTTTTTTTTTGAGACAGAGTCTCACTGTGTTGCCTGGGCCAGAGTGCCATGGCGTCATCATAGCTCACAGCAACCTCAAACTCCTGGGCTCAGGGGATCCTCCTGCGTCAGCCTCCCAAGTAGCTGGGACTACAGGCATGTGCCACCATGCCCAGCTAATTTTTTTCTATATATTTTTAGTTGTCCAATTAATTTCTTTCTATTTTTAGTAGAGACGGGGTCTCACTCTTGCTCAGGCTGGTTTCGAACTCCTGAGCTCAAACGATCCGCCCGCCTCTGCCTCCCAGAGTGCTAGGATTACAGGCGTGAGCCACCACGCCCGGCCAATAATGTCTTTTTTCATTTCTGATTTTAGTAATTTGAGTCCTCTCTTTTTTTTTTTTCTCAATCTAGGAAAGGTTTGTCAATTTATTTGATCTGTTCAAAGAAGTGACTTGGTTTCACTGATTTTTCTCTGTTTCATTTATCTTTGCTCTAATCTTTATTTCCTTTCTGCTAGCTTTCAGATAAGATTATTCTTTTTCAAGTTTCTTAAGTTGTATAGTTTGAGATCTTTCTTGTTTTTTAATATAGCATTTATAGCTATAAATTTCCCTCTTAGCAGCGCTTTCGTTGTGTCCCGTAAGTTCTGGTATGTTGTGTTTCTGTTGTCATTTGTGTCTGTTTCCTGACTTCCCTATGATTTCTTCTTTGATCCATTGGTTAAGAGTATGTTGTTTAATTCCCACAACTTTGTGAATTTTCAGTTTTCTTTCTGTTGTTGATTTCTAACTTCATCTTGTTATAATCTGAGAAGAAACTTTGTCTTTTTAAAGTTATTGAGACTTAATTTGTGACTTTACATATATGGTCTATCCTGGAGAACGTCCCATGTGCACTTGAGAAGAATGTGCATTCTGTCACTGGGTAAAAGTTCTGTGTCTGTCTGTTAGAGTTAGTTGATTTACTGTATTGTTGAGATCTTCTATTTTATTACTTATCATTTGTCTCGTTCTTTACGTTATTTAAAGTGGGCGATGCAATCTCCAACTAGTATTGTCCATTTCTCCCTTCAGTTCTGTCAATTTTTGCTTAATGTATTTTTGATAGTCTGTTAGGTATGCAAAGGTGTATAGTTGTGATATCTTGTTACCGTATCGAACCTTTTATTAACACAGTTATGCATCACTTAACGACAGGAAATAATGTTCTGAGAAGTAAGAAATGTGTTACTAGGCAATTTCATTGTTGTGCGAACATCATAGGGTATACTTACATTAACCTAGGGTGTACTCACGCTAACCATAGGCTGTCTGTACAGGAGAAAAAACCCAATCAGAATCTTCCTTGAAAGTGTATAATGAAATTGACATATTTTACCTTTGCTCCATAGCTCAAGAGAGTGGGTGATAAGTCATGCTATTTTTTTTTCAGGATCTTAGACTGTTAGGTTCTGAATCTTTGCCATTCCCCCAGACCTTTATTTTTATTTGGAAACTTGTGTTTATAAGTGTTATGTTTATAAGTGTTATGTATCTGTTTATAATTTCTCAGGTGTTGAAGAGTTGGGGATGATTTCGTGAGTTTTTTAAAGATAATAGAGAAGAGTTTTTGATAATAGTGATTATTTTAATGACAGTTTAGCTTACTAAGTGGCTTTCTGTCTCCTACTGAACAAATAAATATACCTGTGCGTCATCTCAGTAAGAGCATTCTACCCTATGTGAAAGTTTTGTTGTGAATATGTGCATAATGGTAAATATTCACATATAGATGCCAGTGTCTTTCAACCTTATTCTTTAGTGTGGGGTGGGTAAAGGAGGCTGACATGCTGGGAAGGGCCAGAAAAGGCAAAGAATTGCGTTTCTTGAGAAATAACACAATTAAGAAGAAAAAAATCCGTTCACAGTAGAAAAATGACAACAGAAAGTAACGAGGTCATAGATTGTATGGTGGCCCAACAAACTATTTGCCTATCTGGTATCACAAAAATTGAAACACAATTTGGAATGGGGTGGTAGAATGGAATGATTATAAATTTTCTAGTGTTTCAGGAAAGAAAAACTTCCAAAATACTCTTCAACTATTTTTTTGAAATAAGCAGTGTCTCATTTTCTGAAATATATATATCTGCTTGTGACTATAATACTGCTTTTCAGTTCTTTGTGATTTGTATGTTAGGAATTAGGTGCAATTTTTATGTATAAAAATTTCCTTTCAAGGTTATATAAAGATTAAATATTAATATTAGGGATCCTAAGGATTGACTACAAGCAAATAGCTAATTTGTAGTTATATTTATTTTTAAAGTGATCATGTTATCTAACAGAAAGTTTGGTCGACCATTTTTATGAATTAAATCTTGCTGTCATGAGTAAAAATGCAAAGGTTCGCATTTATTATTTTCTTCTTTTCAGTTCCCTATATATGTTTAAGGAAAAATGAAAATAATGTATCTTTTATATTGTTAGGCCCGGATAGCATTTCTACAAGGGGAAAGAAAAGGTCAGGAGAACTTGAAGAAGGATTTAGTAAGAAGAATAAAGATGTTAGAGTATGCATTAAAACAAGAAAGGTATGTGTGCTTCATTTTCTTATAAATCAAGTAGAACAATAGTATTCTCGTTTATACCGTTGTACAGTGTATTTAACAGCTTTCTAAAAGGTATAAATCCTTGCCCAAATACAAGATGATATTTTGATTAGATTTGTATATGGGAAAATAAAAGCAAAAGAGATTTAAAAAGTTAAATTGAAATAATGTGTTTTGTTATAGAATTAAAATTTTGGAATTAAAAAGATCAGGGAAAATTTTTCTTCACTTGGATATATGTGTTACTTGGAAAATTTACTTTTTTTTTTCTTTTACAGTGGTACATTCTTTGGTGTTCTTTGCAAATAAAGTTTAAAGAAACACATTCATCTTAATGTTTTGTTATTGGAGTAATGTAATAGTCACAAAAGGAAGAAATTTTTTTAACAATATATTATTAAATTTTCAGGGCAAAATATCACAAATTAAAATACGGCACAGAACTGAACCAAGGTGATTTGAAAATGCCAACCTTTGAATCAGGTAAACTTGATGCTTCTGTTACTTTTTTTTTTTTTTTTAAAGGACACTTTTATGTGGCAGACATGTTGTCTTTCCCCCTGTTTTGCTTTGACAGCATTAGTTAGACAGATGATTAACTATTGTAAACTATTTAGAATTTGAAAAAATATTAAATAAATAAAGGTAAGTAGTTTTTTCTATTTCTAAATCATGAGCTTACTTGTCCTATTTTCCTTGCATTGAAACCTGTGTAGAACTGTGGGTGTATTTTTGGTAGTAATTAGAGCTAGAAGCTAATGGAATAACTGGTTTTCTACCTGGACAATTTTTGTCCCAGCCTGTATAAGCTTTATTATTATTAAAAAATCCCTTTAATCTGGAGAAGTTCTGATTAACTCATTTTAGTTCTAAACATATTGGAAATTTGACTGGGTTTGGTAACTACAGAGTCAGCCAAATAAGAGAGAAGGAAAAAATTATCTCTGGTTGGCTTTGCTCTTTATAAAACAGATAGTGAGTGTTAGAGTAGTATCTGATGAACAATTATGCAGTGAAGGGAGGGATTGGTTATAGGACAGGGCTAACAGTTTAATGCTAATTTTAGGGCTGTGTATGATTACAATTTGAGTAGTCAGAAAGAGTAGACAATATTTTGATTAGGATTTGGGAATATTACTAGCAATTTCTTATTTCTGAGGTATGTCTAGAACTCAGTTATATACACATTTTTGATAGTGCAAATTAAAAGCTATACTGTTCTCAGTTGCTAGTTACTAAGACAAAAAAAAACTTCGTTTGAATATACAGTTTTTCATCTCCTTCTATAGTTGTCCCATACCTAATAAAGTCAAAGCATATATGGTAGGAAAAACAAAACTTATATGTGGATTTTTAAAGTTAGTTGTTACAGTAAAAATTTAGTTAATTGGTTTTTAGTTCAATATTAAGTACTTAGAACTTGACAGAAACATATACCATATGTATAGCCTGCAGTGGATTTATTTTTTTGTCTGCTTTCAGTTTTTTGCAGCAAAACTATTTATTATTTGTTCCAGTTGTTATATATATAAAATCAAGAGACCAAGATAGGAGTGGCATAGATTTTCTTTAATGTGGCTTTTTTTTTTTTTTTTTGAGACAGAGTCTCACTGTGTTGCCCGGGCTAGAGTGCCGTGGCGTCAGCCTAGCTCACAGCAACCTCAAACTCCTGGGCTCAAGCGATCCTCCTGCCTCAGCCTCCCGAGTAGCTGGGACTACAGGCATGCGCCACCATGCCCGGCTAATTTTTTCTATATATTTTTAGTTGTCCGATGAATTTCTTTCTAATTTTAGTAGAGACAGGGTCTCACTCTTTCTCAGGCTGGTTTCGAACTCCTGAGCTCAAACAATCCGCCCGCCTAGGCCTCCCAGAGAGCTAGGATTACAGACGTGAGCCACCGCGCCCGGCAAATGTGGCTTTTTAGTGATTATGAAGGCTCATTCGAGTGTGAGGAAACTGTATTATGATCTCTGTGGAAAAGCAAGCATAAATAATAGAAAGAAGGTCTATATATTTTGAACTTTGTTTGCTACAGTAGTTCTATTACAATTAGAGGGCATACAGTGGCTTCACCAGAAGAAACTTGATTGATTTAGAGCGTTTCTTTGACTCATTTTCTTTTCAGTATTGCCACAATAATCAGAAAGTAAGTAAACACTTTCTAGAACTAGAGGGCTTGGTCTGTGTGATATGAGGAAGCAGGCTAGTTAAATACACATTGTACCTGGAATAAAGGTCAAAATCAGTATTGGTTAGCTGCTCAGTGCAACAGTTATATTAGCAGGTAAATCTCTCCTGCGCACAGCTGAAGTTGTGGTAAAATAAATCTTTTTATCTCTATAAACTTAAGTATTAAAACTTCTTCAAGTTGAGGAATAAAATAATATCAAAGTAACTTATTTACAGGAGACGTAATAACTGCAAAGTTAAATGTTTTTACTTGTGTAGAAAAACTATTCAGGACGTTTAGTAGAAAACAGCTGGGTGCAGTAGTTCAGCGCCATAAATCCCAGCACTGAGGTGGGAGGATCATTTGAGGGCATGAGTTTGAGACCATCCTGGGCAATGTAGCAAGACCTGTCTCTTAAAAACAAAACAAAACAAAAAAATTAGCTGGGCATGGTGGCATACACTGGCAGTCCCAGGTACTCTGGAGGCTAAGGCAGGAGGATTGTTTGAGCCCAACAGTTGGAGGCTATAGTGAGCTATGATGATGCTACTGCACTCCGTCTGGGCAACAGAATGAAACCCTGTCTCTTCAAAAAAAAAAAAAAAAAAAAAACAGAAAACAACTATACAACATGTTTAGTGGAAAACAAAACAAAGAGACTGACAAAAATACATCAAGCAAATAACATGGTATAAAATTATTTATGTCAAATAATACATGGATGTAATATTAAGTGAAACAATGTTGCCTTTTATATACCCCCAGATAAATCGATGTAAAAAAGAAAATGTGCAAAATATTGATTTGATAGAAGTACAAGACATGCAAGTGTTTATATCCCTCTCTCAGTACAAATATATGTATAGCCTAAGTTAACCTTATAAAAGGGATTGTATCCAAATATGTAAAAATGCTCCCTTTGTTGTACATTTAGAAAATAGACAATTTGATAGACAAATGGGCAAAAAACTTGAAAAGGCATCCTATGAAAGGGGATATCTAAATGGCCGGTAAACATATGAGATGATGCTTGATGTTTATTGGTATTGAAAAAATACAACTTAAAACCACAATGGAATACAATTAGACACTGACCAGAATGGCTGAAACTGTGTTGATGAGGATGTGGAATGATAGTGATCAGAACTTGTAGAAATTGTTGCTAGGATTGTAAATTCATAATGCTGCTCCGAAAGTGACTTGACAATATTACTAAAGTGAATATAGCATACATACCCTATGACCCAGTAATTGCACTCCTTGAAATACATAATGTGTGTTAACCACAAGGCTTGTATAAGAATGTTCATAGTATCATTATTTATAGTGAAAATCCGAAAACAGTGAGATTGTCTTTCACCATTAGAATAAATATATTGTGATATGTTATTATAGCAATGCTATTTAGAACAGAAGTGAGCAAACTACAGCCAAACGTGACAAAATGGATAGATCACATGAAATTGAAAATTGATAGAAATAATTTATATCAGATTCCAATATCTAGTTGTTAAAAATCAGGATAGTATTGATACCCATTTTAGAGTGGCTAGTGACTGGAGGGCACAAGAAAGCTTTTTAGGGATGCTGATAATGTTTTGTTTCTTCATCTAGGTACTGATTACATGGACGTGTTCAAAAATTCCTTTAGCTATATATTTGATGTACTTCAAGAATATCCTTAGCAACATTTATAATAGTGAGAAAATGGAAACTAATGTCAACATTAGAGGATTGGTTAAATAGGTATATACTTTCTATAGAATATTGTTTAATCATTTTTCATGTTAATCTATACAGCCATATAGAGAATATTCAAGATACATTAAGTATCAAAAGCAGATTATAGTGCAGGACACACCTTGGCCCATTTTTTTAAAGGGAGGGGGTTATGTTAGTCATGTATATATTTTCGCGGAGAAAATATGGAATAATAAACTCTCAAGTACTAACAGTTGTTAACTCTTGGTGATAGGATTTGGGGCAATTGTATTTCTTCTTTTTTTTGAATGTCTTTTTTCCTTCAATGGTTATGTGGTATATGTGATTAAAAAACAAAGTGTTATAAATAGAACCAATTATAAATAGAAAAATAAGCATGGGACTATTAGAAAACGGATTATTTCTAGAAATCAAAGATGTGCTTTTGATGGGGGAAGAATAAAAAGTTACTAATAATGTGATTGTTAGGGTTAGAGGAGTAATGCCTACAGAGGATACTTTAATTATAACCAGTAAGTATTTAGTGGCTTTGAGGAGTCTAGGAGCCTAACAATGACTCTGAGCCAGTCTAAGAGTTCTCAACATTTATTGTGGGAGTTGGTCTTCCAAGCCCTCTCTTCTTCACTGTCATTATTGTAATAATGAGAATTTATGAGAAAATATTTCTGTAATATAAGTGCCAATAAGTAGTTTTAAATTTCACTTGAGATACTTGTAGAGAGCTTAACTCACCTGAAATTACACTGTTTATTAAACTCGGTTTTTTTTTGGCATACACTTCATTATCTGAGAATAAAACATGACTCTTTACCTATAGTAAAAACTATTTTTTGGTTTAACTCTTAGTTACAAAAATGAAATTGGCTAAGTCTTGTATAGACTTAACATCTACTGATATAGACTCAAAAATCAGTTATTCAGCATTTTTATATATACCTAATATCTTAGTCTTGATTTTTGAATAGCTTATGTAATACAGCTTTTTAATTTCAAAAGCAATCAATTCAGCAGAATTCTAGTAGCTAATAAAAAATAATTCCAGTGATCTTCGTAATTTCATCTCAAAGCCTGGGCCTTTGATTTTTGAATCCCTGATAGTAATCAAGTACAATGAGTTTTTCTCATTTTAAGATGAAGAGGATAGTATCTAAATGATTGGGTTATTGGGACAAACACACTTAAAATGAGTGACCCACGGTAACTAATTAAAGTTAATTTTTTCCTGTGTTTAGGAAATATTTAGGAATATTTAGGTATTTTTTTAAGGAATTAATCCCTAAGAAAACTTTAGCAATATTTACAAGAGTTGAAATAAGGTATGTAAAACTTCTTTTTTTTTTAATTTTTAGAAGAAACCAAAGACACAGAGGCTCCCACAGCACCCCAGAATAGCCAGTTAACGTGGAAGCAAGGCAGACAGCTGTTAAGACAGTGAGTAATGATTTATTTTCAGCTTTCTTTAAGGATCTAGGTATGAAAGTACTTAAGTTAATTTGCACGTAAAGAATCATTTAGTTGTAGTGGGACAATGTGTATGTTTTTTGTGTTGCTGCTTTTTTGCTTTGTAGATACTTGGATCTTTTTAAAAATTTGTTTCCTCTGAGTTTCAGGATGATGATGTTTTCTTATTTGCAGGGTAGAATGTCTCCAAGACTGGATGACTTGAAGGCCAGAACAAAAACAATATAGAGTTCATGCTTTTAGACCTCTCCATCCCTGTCAGTGCAAAATTCACACATTTAGTTTCTTTTATAAGTGGGGGTGTGACTGGTATAGTGTAGGAATTTAGCTGAAATTCCTTCTGGAATAGGTCATCTGAAACTTTTCAGAAGTGGATTGCCAAATCCTCCTTTAATTTTTAAGGAACCTTTTTGATGTTTGATTTCTTTGCTGTATTGGCAGTATTAATACTTCTGGAGCAAATCTTATTTATTGCCTTTTTACATATTTTTTCTTTTCCTTATATTTTGAAAACTTGAGAATTTGCATCCTACTGTTAACCTAGGTAATTTACAATTGCTTAACCTTCTTAACTCTGAACATCTTTACCTTTAGTTCAGTAACCCTGTGAAGTGTGTGGTCAGGCTCTCGATCTTATTACCTAAAACTGTACTACCTCTGTAATATTCCATAGTTTGGGCAGTCATCATGTGTTCTACCTCTGTCATTCCAATTCTCATGTTATTTACCCTCTGACTTTACTTTGATCTTTAGATTCTTGACTACTTCATTTTCTTTACCATCTGTCGATAGTTGCTTTAATTTTATTTCTGTTTTCTTAGCTCCAGCATGAAGCCCGTAATCCATTACTCTTTTCTGGTACTCTTAGCTTTCTTGCTGCCTGCTGCTCACCCCTTCCCCACTAGTCATTTTACTAAACTTGGCGCAAAACCCCAGCCCTAATTCAGTTTTACTCTCTGCCTCCTCTACTAGTTAACTCTTGGACTAAAATTACAGAATCGTATGAATGCCGTTATATATTTATGGTTTCCTGTCCAAACTTTGCAGAGAGCTTTTCTCTATAACCCTAATTATCCCCTGCTCCCATTGTCCTCAGTGGTTATTCTAAACTTTAACCACATCTCAGCCCACTCCTTGCTCTTACTAGAGCATCTCAAGCTTTGCTTTACTGAAAATATAAAGGCCATCAGGTGAGAACTCCCTTAACTTGCCTTTCTTTCTGTAAATGTGTTTAAACCTCGTATCTATTACCTCAGTTTCTTGTGTTCCATTCAAGAAGGTATTTATCAAATCTGGATTACTGTAAGTGGCTAAAACTTGAACAAAAGGAAGATTGATTGGAAAAATGCTGGGGTAACTACCAGCATTGAAGGAAATGCGGACCAGCCAAGTATCAGAAAGTCAAGAGGTGGAGTAGCTTGCAGAACTGCTCAAGAGACTGAAAACAGCAAGGATACATTCATATTCTCTGGTTTTCTACTCCACTCTGTACCAGCCTTATTCTTTTCTACTGAAAACCACCTTTTTCCATATGGCAGAGTACCCCATTTTAAGAGAGAACAATTTCTGAGAAGGATTGGAATTGTCTCGATTTGATCTAATAACTGCCTATGAGTCAGTCATTTTTACCTGGGTTGTATGAGATCTTGGCAGTTCATTCACACCAGATGGTTAAAGTGTTGTGGGAACTGTTCCCCAAAAAGAGGATTGTGTATTTTAGAGGAAGAATGAGGACAGCTGTAGAGAAATTAGTTGCACGGCATTTCTGTCATAAATGTCTAATCTTTTGCCTGGATTTATAGTCTGTCTTTTTTCTCACCTTTCCCTTTCCCTTTGACTTTATAGCCAAACTCATTAAGGATAGTTTATCTCTGTGTCTTCATTCTTGTTCATATCTCAGCTGTCCAGTCTGTTTTCCATTTTGGTGTTCCTCTGAAGGTGCTATCACAAACATGTTCAAGAAACCTTTGTTGTTCATATTTAATATCTTGGAAAAATTTGACATTATCTATTCCTTTTTGAAACTTTTATTTTTGCTCACATGACACCACTCTCTGCTGTAATTTTTTTCCCTTAATTTTTAAAGTATTTTATTTTCCTTTGAGTTTCTCTTATTCTTCTAGCCCTTTAGATGTTTGTGTCACCAGGTTTTCTCTCCTTACTATGCTTGTTCTCTGAATGATTTCATTTAAATTCATGGCTTCAAATACTACCAAAGACTAATGGCCCAAATCTATATACCCAGCCCAATCTCTTCTGAGCTTTTGACACGTCTCATCCATGTGCCTACTAACCACTGTCACTTGATTTTTTTCCAGACACCACATGGTTGTCTTCTAGGTACCCTATAAACTTGATTCTGACTCTCCGTTCCCCGTTTCATTGAGTGAAACCATCATCTAGCCACCCAAACTAGAAACTTGAAAATTGCCCCAAATTCTCACATCCATCATTCTGCTGCCACATTCATTTGGGCATCAAATCAGAAATATTATATCTTATTTTTCTCACATTTATTCTTCTCTACTTCTTGCTGTGTTAGTGTCTTAACTAATCTCCCTGCTGTTAGCTTTAACCTAAAAGCCTTCTATTCTTCTGCCAGCAGTATTTAAGACTCCTTTTTAGCATCCTTTATTAGCCTCCTAAATAATTTGTCACACAAAGCCTTTCACAACTCATGTGTATATTGTGATCTGGTCGCTTCTTTTCCAATCTCACTCTGGATCCTAGGTCAAGTTCCCTGATTTAGATACAGAGAAAGCTTGAAAACCTCAGGACTAGAGAAGTGCTATAGGATCTTAGGTCCTAGAAGGAGAATTAGCTGGTCCATCAATCTCTGATTAAGAACTAGGTCTAAACTTAGCATGTTGCTGTTCTGATGTTCAATTCTGCTCATTCTCTACCACCCCTTAGACATTAAAAAATACACAAACACACAAAATCAACTCCTAAAAGCTTTTTAAGACACTAGGGCTTTTTAGGTTTCAGGATAATTGGCTCTTAATCAATCTTAGCCATACTTCATGCTTTTTTATTTAAATTTTGATTTGTGATGGACATTGTTCTATTAGAACTGGAACTAGTCTGGGCTGGGCACAGTGGCTCACGCCTATAATCTCAGCACTTTGGGAGGCCCAGGTGGGAGGATTGCTTGAGGCCAGGAGTTTGTGAACTGGAACTAGTCTATAGAGAAGGAAGATACTTAGACAAAGAAAGAGTGTATTTTATAGGATTATAGGTTTTTCTAAAAATCCTTGATGTGATTGTGAGTCTGGATGGTGTTTAACAGTATGTAAAATTTAATATTTTTAATTTTCTCTTATAGGTATCTTCAGGAAGTAGGTTACACAGATACAATATTAGATGTACGGTCTCAGCGGGTAAGATCATTACTTGGACTATCTAATTCAGAACCAAATGGATCAGTAGAAACAAAGAATTTGGAACAGATCCTGAATGGAGGTGAATCTCCTAAGCAAAAAGGACAAGAAATCAAAAGGTATGATTTATACTTGTAGATTAACATTATTTATATAATGTATATTATGAATCTCTTTAGCTCCTTGTTACTGTTTTGTGTTTGGTTTTGTTGTTTTTGTTGGTTTTTCAAGGGCAGGGTCTTGCCCTGTTGCCCAGGCTGGACTGCGGTGGCATCATCACAGCTTACTGTAACCTCAAACTCCTAGGCTCAAGCAATTCTCCCACCTTAGCCTCCCAAGTAGCTGGAACTACAGGCCTGAGCCACGATGCCTGGCAAACTTCAAAAGAATTTTTTGTAGAGATGGGTTCTTGATATGTTGCCCAGGCTAGTCTCGAACTCCTGACCTCCAGGGATCTTCCAGCCTCAGCCTCCCAGAGTGCTGGGATTACAAGTGTGAGTCACCATGCCCAGCCTTGTTACTGCTATTAACAATTTTTAAAGCAAGTAGAGTTCAGATTTAAATACCCACCCCCCAAATGGCAGCATGGGCAAATAAATTTTCTATTTAGGTGCTTTTAAAATGTATCTATGTTAAAGTTTTGATTCCAAGAGAATGACTATAATTGTGGAATAGGTGCAGAATTAAAATTTAAATTTAAGGCTGATTTCATATCAGAGCTATTTTAACATGCTGATTTTAAAATTTTTACTAGGGTATTTTCCATAAATTATAATGCTGCTGTGTCACTAGAACGAGCAATGGTTATTTAGACACTGATATGAAAGAAACAAGGCTTTGCATTGTGTTTGCACTCAGAAAGCTACCAGATACATTTTAAAAAAATCATTATTGAGATATAATTCACATACCATAATTTACCCATTTAAGAATACAATTTAATGGTTTTTAGAATATTCACAGTTGTTCAGCCATCACCATAATCTATGTTTAGAATATTTTCATCACCCTGAAAAGAAACTCCATACCCCTTATCTGCCACTTTTCATTCTCCCCTACCTCCCAACCTTGGGCAACTACTACTCTACTTTGTCTCTGTAGATTTGTATATTTCGGATATTTGTGAGTGGCTTCTTTCACTTAGTATGATATTTTCAAGGTTCATCCAGTTTGTAGCATGTATCAATACTTCATTCCTTTTTATTGCCAAATAATATTGTGTACTATGGATATACTACATTTTGTATTTCTTATCTAGTCAATGGGTATATGTGGGTTGGTTCCATGTTTTGTGGTAATGAACAAGTTTGAGGAGCTGTCAAACTCTTTTCCAAAGTGGCTGCACTATTTTACCTTCCCACCGGTAATGCTATAAGGATTTCAGTTTCTTGACGTCCTCATCAACATTTGTTATTGTCTGTCTATCAGATAAACTTTGGATTAATACAAACTTAATACATGCAAGGAGTCAAGCAGGTGGAACTTTTTTCATTTTTACCATGAGATGTTGACCCCAAATAACATAGGTTAGAAGGACAAAGAAAACAAAAAGAGAAAGGAAAGAAACCAAATGAGTTCATTTAGAAATTTGGAGCTTAAGAAATTAATAATATGTACCATTGTTTCTAATGTTTCATAACCTAGGTGTATTTTATGACATTATGCAGTTACCTAAAACATGTTCTGTAAACTTTGAACTTAAACTTAAGCCTTTGATTTAGGGTTTTTATTTCTGGGAAATAAGCTCTTGGTTATTCTGTTTTGTTTTGTTTGTTTGTTTTTTTTTTTTTTTTTTTGGGACAGAGTCTTGCTCTCTGTTGCCCCGGCTAGGGGGCAGAGTGTGGCTTTACCATAGCTCACTGCAAGCTCAACCCATCCACCACCTCAGCCTCCCAGAGTGCTAGGATTATGGGAATGAGCCACTGCACCTGGCCAGAAATAAGGTCTTTAATAAAACTAATTTGACATCAGATAGAGCCCTTATTTTCTTTACTCTGATTTTAGGAAGGATAGAATGTTTTGTAGCATAATGAAAAAGCGAAAGTATTATTAAGCGATTTCAGACAAATTGATCAGCTAACCAAATCTGTAGTTCATAGGATTTATAAATATTTTAGAGTAATGCAGTTCGCTGTACTGCACCTGAATCTAAATTTAAAAATCTGTGACAGATTGTATCTTCTTGTAAAGCTTCTTCCCTTTGCAAGATTAAGACTTTAATGGTTTTTTTGGAGGTTTTTTGTGTGGGGGTGGCATGGGTAAAAAACACATAACATGAGATCTGTCCTCTTAAGAAATTTTTAAATGTCCAGTACAGTATTAAAATAAGCACAATGTTGTACAGCAGCTCTCTGGAACTTTCTTATCTTATATGACTGAAACTCTATACCCATTGAACAGCACCTCCCCATTTCTTCTTCCCTTCAGCCCCTGGCAACCACCATTCTACTTGCTGAGTTTGACTACTTTAGATACCTCATAATTAAGACTCATGCAGTTATTTGTCCTTCTGTGACCAGTAATTTCCCTTAGCATAATGTCATCAGTGTTCACACATGTTGTCACATATGACGGGGTTTTCTTTTTCATAACCAAATAACATTCTATTGTATTGTGTATGCCACATTTTCTTTATCCATTCATCTGTCAGTGGACATTTATGTAATAGTTGTTTTAATCAAGACTAATTTCCTTCTTAATGAGTAAACATATTTTCTGATTCTACACTAATGTAGGTGTGTTATGTTATTAGGGCCATTTAAAAACCCATAGGAATAAGAAAATGATATAACATGTTGATAGAGATTGCAGCAAAGTGATGTTTATCACATTTATGATACAAAGAAATTAGAAGAGTCTCAATGTCTAACAGTAGAGAAATGGTAAATTTTAGACTTGTATTATTATAGGTCTGTATGTCTAATAGTTAAGAATGTAGATTCTGAAAACAAACTCAATTTGAATCCTAGCTTCACCACTTAATAGCTGTGACTTTCAGCAAAAAACCTTACTTTCCTGTGCCTCAGTTTCCTAATTTGTAAAATGAGGATCATTGTATTGATATGATGAAGAAAGGAATTGATGTAAAACACTTAGAACAGTGCCTGGCATATAATAAGTGCTAAGTGTTCACTGTTATAAAATATTGTGTATCCAGTTGAAATGTGACCTCACCGAGACTAGTGTTCATTAGATTCTGCTGATTGCATGTCACTGTTGTTTTTCTCGATTTGTGGTAGGGGCATGTGGGTGTATAGTATATCATATCACAAATCATCTACTCTAAGAGGATTCATTGGGGCAGAGAGTTCTGTTAGATTTTATAACTGAGAAAAGCTGTATGGCTTCTTAGTAATTAGTCTGATTTACCTTTGAATCTCCAGTTGTCACTTCTTTCCTTTTTTTACTTTGTTTGGAATCTTGGGGCCAAATTTCTGGCCTTCCTTTAGAAATTGTACCGATTGTTGTAGTCTTTTACTTGCCAACCTTACCCTTGGCTTCATTTTATTTTCCTTTCATCAGGATATATTAATTTTTAAAATTCTGTTTGTCTTTTTAGCATGAGAGAGGATAGTAAATAATTGAAAGAAAAAAATTATACAATAGATGGAGACTTCCACTTAAACATGGTAGATTAAAGGTATGTTTTACTTGTGTGCCTTCTAGAAGTTTCATTAAAATGACAGTGAAGGGCTTATGATGCATTAGCACAAAAGAACCAAAAAAATGTTACACAGAAAGAGTAAGAGAAAATACTGTCTACTGTGAGATAGAGAGAATTTCACAATTTTGGAAGACAGAAAGAAAATGGAGAAATGGCAACTGATTTAGTGGCCCTCAGAAAGATTACATGTAAGTGTATTTGGGAGCAGTAGGATGAAGAAATGAAACAAACCAATTCAAGTCCCAGAATTCCAATAAAGCCACAAAGGCTAAGGAATTAAAGATATTGAGTACATCTCGAGTCACAAGTTTGATGGGGCTGTGAATAAAGAATTGGCTTAAAGTTTATTTAAGAAACAGAATCATAAATCCCTTCTTTCATTCCATGCAGCTGGTCTAACACTCCCCCTCCACCCCAGAGAATGGTGGTGTATATTTTGGTAAAGTTGAACCAGTGATTTCTGATTTCTTAAGAAATAAAACAACCAGGCCAGGTTGCAATGGCTCATGCCTATAATCCTAGCACTCTGGGAGGCCCAGGCGGGAGGATTGTTTGAGCCCAGGAGTTCGAGACTATCCTGAGCAAGAACAAGACTCTGTCTCTACTAAAAATAGAAAAAACACTATCTGGGCATGGTAGTGCATGCTTGTAGTCCCAGCTACTCAGGAGGCTGAGGCAGGAGGCTTGCTTGAGCCCAGGAGTTTGAGGTTGCTGTGAGCTATGATGATGCCACTGTATTCTACCCAGAGTGACGGAGCAAAACTCTGTTTCAAAAAAAAGAAAAAAGAAAGAAAACAACTGAAAGATGGGTGACTGTACTGAAAACAGGAAGGTTATATGAAAATCTCCAGCTGAGTAGTGAGATCTCCTATTTTCTTTTGCTATTTGGCTTTTGGTATGTGGGCAGCTACTCTTAAATCCCTTTCAGACAGAATATTGAAATTGATCACATTAACAGAAAAGATCTAATGATACTGACAATTGGGACATGCTAGCGAAATGGGTAGGCCTCTGCCCTATCATACAAAAGTAAAACTAGCTGTTTGACAAGAGTCACCCATTTTCTTAGTCTTTTGGGGCTGCTATAACAAAATACCATAGACTAGCTACTTAAAAATAACAGAAATTTATTTTTCTGTTAGGCTGGGTCTAAGATCAGGGTGCCAGCATGGTTGGGTTCAGGTGAGGGCTCTTTTCCAGGTTGCAGATTGTCAACTTTCTGCCAGGTCCTTACATAGTGGAAGGGGCAGACAGACCTCCCTCTCTTATAAGGCACTAATCATATTCCTGTGAGTTCTGCCCTCATGACCTAGTCACCTCCCAAAGGCCTTATCTCTTAATACCATCGTATTGGGGATTAAGTTTCAACATATGAATTCAAGTTAAGGAAAGACTTTTAGTGTTAAAATTAGAGACCAAAAGAACCAAACAACAAAAAGGAAGTCACAGAAAATGGGGAGCAGAAGACTTTCAAAATTATAATTACTCTCCTGAGAGAACTGAGAGAAGATAATACATCTACTAAACAAGTTGGATGCTATTTTAAAAGGCTCAGTCAGATGTCAAAAAAGCTCATAGAAATAATTTCCATGAAAAACTTGGAAGATAAGGTTAAAGGATTGTCCCCCAAATTAGAAAATGGACTGAAAGATAGGAAAATTCAAAGATCAGTCCATGGGAGTCAGTTTCTGACTAGGAGTTTCAGAAAGAGAACAGATTAACTGGTGTTGAAAAGATTATTAAGCAATAATAAAATTTCTGGAATGTATTTCTAAGGATGTTTGTTTCCAGATTAAAAGGATTTTCCTGGCCGGGCGCGGTGGCTCACACCTGTAATCCTAGCACTCTGGGAGGCCGAGGCGGGCGAATTGTTTGAGCTCAGGAGTTCGAAACCAGCCTGAGCAAGAGTGAGACCCCGTCTCTACTAAAAATAGAAATAAATTAATTGGACAACTAAAAGCATATAGAAAAAATTAGCCAGGCATGGTGGCGCATGCCTGTAGTCCCAGCTACTCGGGAGGCTGAGGCAGGAGGATCGCTTGAGCCCAGGAGTTTGAGGTTGCTGTGAGCTAGGCTGACACCACAGCACTCACTCTAGCCTGGGCAAAAGAGTGAGACTCTGTCTCA